TAATTCGTGTGAATTATGTACTTTTTCACTACAATATACCATTAGATGAGGAAAAAAAAAAGAGTGATCAAAAGTTGACGTGTAAAGCAATTTTAAATTTTTACTTTCAATTCGGCCAAAAGGTATATTTAGGTATTCCCGCAACCGGTCGTGACACACAATCTCTTTTTACACTTCTTCAACCAAAGCTTCATATATCAACAAACCTTTCTTCCATTTTCCGGTCCACACTTCATATAAACCAAATTGAAGCTTAGTCTCTTGGTTTAGTGCTTCCTTGGGACTAACAAAGATCTCGAATATGCCATCAGTCTCATCTGGTATGTTAACCGGTTGTGTCCCACCTTTAAGTTTCTCAATGTTATTATTAACCGATTTGATCCTCTTCCAAATTGTCTTTCCTTTCTTTCCGATTTTCGCCGACATGAAAACCGGAGCTTGGTCCCATCCGGTTGCATCACCCGTGAAAGAGATTTTAAAACCGATTCGGTACGTTTTGCCTGGCTCTATCTTGTCGAACGAACCGGTTACTTCTAACCAACTCACCATCTTTAGTTCGGCAGGGGTCCTTTTAAACACCAAAGGCTCAAAACTTTAAACACAGAATTAGAAAACCGGTATATTCGGGTTATGTGTCAAAGCAAGATGAAAAAGGTACCTGTCTTCTTTAGGAATGACCCAATACCGAGAGTCACCTCCCCATATGAAGTTAAGACCACTTGGCTTAAAAACCCATGCTTTTCTAACGATCTATCAGGGAAATTTAAAATTTTGTAATAGAATAACCAAAAAACATAACATAACTTAATGAAAAATTGACTTCTTACATCATGTTCCATGCTGGATTCTGCCTCGTAGTGAGAACTCTTGACAGCTTTTTGGACAGACATTTCCTTCTTGCTTCTTTGTTGTTTGTTTATACATAGAAAAATGATCCTAAGTGAGCTTTATATAGAGATTTTTTACTTTTCACTATATTGAAAACTTTCTGTGGAAAAGAAAAAAGGATTGTGACAGAAGAAGAAGAATAAATTAAGTTGGACCCAATTCTCTTTCTTCTCGATATTCTCCTTTGTAAGTATAACTTTAGTTCAATACTTGTGAAATTTGCGGATATGATAGTATCAACCATGTAAAAGGCATAACTCAATTGGACGGCAAAAGTTTAAAGCAAATATTCTCAATTTGTGGCTTTCTTCTTTTTATTGTTCTATGTGAACTTTTATATATGAGAATCAAACCAATCACAAATTTACTAAAACATGTATTGGTCATATAATCGCGATTAGTTCAACATACTAGATGTTGTTGTCTTACTGTTATCGGATCCAAATTCGAGTCCAGTGTGACTCTGGATTACTTAAACTACTGTACCAAAATTTCGGAACTTTTTTACTAAATAAAAAAATGTCTTTTATCGGTTGAGTGAGAAGTTGACAATGGCAATTGAGTGAAGATGAAGATGCCGATGAATGTTTTGGTTACAACTTGCAAGTTGGCATTTGCTGCTTTAGATTCCTGTTTCCTAATGATGTATTGCATAACTTTTTGGCAAGTGGGTAAAAAAGAGAATTTCTCAAAATTCCTAGTGATTTCAAAAGAAAAACTGTCTATTTCTCCACGAAAACTTTGACATATATATGTCTCCCAAATGTTAGCTTCTGTATATATCTCCACGAATTACAAATTAATTGCGTATATCTCCACCAATTGGAAATTAAATGTGTATATCACCACCAAATCAAAATTTGATCGGTTTCGTTGTTAACCCGACACCAAACCGAGAACAAAGTAAACCGAATCAGAAACCTGATTGAAACACAAACCCAAACCATTTTTAAAACCCGGCTCGTTTATAACCCAAATCGAAAGTTAGTACCAAATCATGTAGAACCCTAATTGAAATTTCAAAATTCCATCAAATTCACACATAAAATTAGTGAAATGATGACTAATGTCTCTGGATCTTCGCCTAACTAATTCTTCCTTGAAGCCTCTTGTTATTAATCTCTTCTTTCAATTCTGTAACCTTCCACAGTTCCACTTATCAATTGGTCGATTGTCCAAGACGAGATAAGGTGATGACGACATCTTAGCTTATGAAGATGATTCTGACAAAAATTTCAATAAAAATTATAGAAATCTATCTTTCAATCCAAATTAGCC